CTTAGAATTATTTTGGAAAGTTAAGCCTGTGTTACTAGCAAATGCTCTAAATTATATGCCTTCATTACATAGTTTTATCTAGATCCTTTCAGAGTCTATTCGCTCGTCCAGATTATTCCAAAGAATACTGATGAATTACGAGTTTTGTCTGATCTCTACATTAATGACGACGAAATGGTGCGCCTCAAATTTTTGCATAAAAAAATTAATAATATTTAGAACGATATAATTTTTAGTAAAAAATCATAATTGTGAATAAAAAATTTCTCGCACTGATTACAAAAGCTATTGAGATCGAATAAATAAACAAATACCTACAACATACATACATGCCTACATACATGCATACACACATATACACATACACACATAGGCACATACACACATGCACACATACATACACACATACATACACACACATACAAACATACATACATATTATATGCACATACACACGTACGTGCATTAACACATAGAAACATATATCTACATATATATACACAAGCATACTTTCAAGCATGCATTCATACGCTTTCACACATACACACTGAACCGAGCAACATTTATAGCGCGCAAGGTGCCTCGCTGAACTTTGTTTGGAATTTTCGCGACAGCCGTCGTTTGTTTCACTCATAAAGGAAGCTGCCGCTAAATCATGCTAGGAAAAAGCAAGCAAAAAATTTTTTGTTACGCTGAAGCAGTGGATGAGTCTGTTTCTTTACAAAAGCACCAGAGCATTTAGAGTTCTAAAAAAAGCTCGGCGGAGGCAGTTACATTGTTTCATTGCTGACCATTTACTTTGTCCTGTACTATTGGACCTTGTAGACAACTAGCCTCTCAAAAAACTACGTTTTACAAGTTTGGCTGCAAAATGAAGGCTGAAACTCTTAGTAGCTCCTGGAAAAAAAAACCCTTCGGACAATTCAAAAAAAAAAACAGAAGCTTTTTTACGCAGTACCAAACATTTGAATTTGTAGTATCTTAACTCACGAAATGAGTAATATTAATTTTAGACAGATTTTTGGAAGCCTCCAATAGCGGTTAATGAGTCGGTGGATATTATGGTTTATCCAGGATATCAGAATAAATTAGGCAATCTGTTTAAAAAGCATGCAATCAAATTTTACGTTGCCGTCGATGACGTTGCTCAGTAAGTTCTCAGCTCTTTTGGCCTGCGATTCACTAAAAGCACCGTGTTTCATTAAGGAGAGATAATGAGAGAGAAAGCGGAGTGACGATGAGAGAGTCAGGAATGTGAACCACTTTTTTGTCCCTCAGAGAACATTCGCTTTTTAAACCGGCCAATTGAAGGACGCGTTTTGCATAACAGTTCAATCGTTTTTTTGCCTTTTCTTTTCGCCTTCAGAGAATAACTTCCTCATAAAGTGCACCTGTGTGTCTTGAAAAAATTTCCCATCCTTTTTTTAACTACCTTTGACAAACATTTTTTTAAAACGTAGCCGACAAAGTTAAGAACTGATTTGACACTTTATTTCGTAAAGAATTTAGTTCATCCATCTAAATCCTGCTTAGCTACCCATAAAACGAATCAAACCTGAAGCTTCATTTCCAGAAATCAAAGCGAGGAAAGAGTGCGGGGGAGGGAGGGAAGGAGATGGGTTGTTAAGGCGATTTGTTAAAGAAACAAGAGCAGGAAAGAGAGAAGAGCCGGTTACCCGGTGAAAAAAAAATACTTCCGACAACATGCAATGCAGTTTTGACAATTTCCGTTTAAATTTTGAAAATTGCCTGTAATCATAGTTCAAAACATTTTTTAACTTGTGACAGCACCCACCTTACACTTTTTCGCTATGATCAGCTCTTTTTTCATCGCAACGTTTCTTCTTGTCGCTGGTGCACCGGCAGCAGGCAGCTTCTCCATTCTTTTCTGTTTCGAATTTCTCTTATCTCGCATAATTCCGTGTACTCAGCCGACAGATTTCAAAACTCCATGACCATTTTCACTCGCCTAGGTTTCCATCAACACTTTGAAGAGATTTTAGAGATTATAAAAACTCAGAAAAAAAAGCAATTTTCTGTTTCTCTTTTTTCATAAAGATATAACTGTTTCTGTGATAGCAAAAAATGAAATCAGATTTTCTGCAGATATTTGCGTAACAGTAACGAGGCAGCACTGAGTCGTAGGAAATTGTTAGACGGGCAAAAACGATTTCGTGATGATAGTTCGAACATTGCGGAACTACATATGGGCGAATATCACTCCTACGACGACATTGTTCGGTGGCTAAAAAGCTTGGAAAGGCGATATTCTGATATTGTTAAAGTCACATCCATTGGAGTTACACCCGAGAAACGAACTATTTACGGAGTCAGGGTAATGCTTCATTGTCAGGCTTGTGTCTAGGGAGAAGATATAAAAGAAGGTTGTCAAAATTTGACATACCCATTGGCTACGGGTGATCTGTGTTAACTTCTGTATATTAATCACAGGTGAGCCGATAGTGTTTCGATTTAGCACAGTTCCAGTTTATTAAGAGGAAAGTTTGAATTCTTGCTACGCTGATTCGAAACAGAGGATAGGTTCGTTGATTCAAAACAGAGGATAGCCTTGAAATGAAGCAAGCTCGCTTTGGAACTGTGATTTCGTGCACTAGGTCTTTGAAATGAAGTACGACCGCTTTAGAACTTTGATTTAGGTGCATTAACACTATGACTACATTATGTACTTTTTCCTCTGGACACCTTCATGCCGTTATAGTCCAGGATTTCGTCGACTTCAAAACAATTAGCATTGTAGCTCGGCAGGCAGCACGCGAATTCGACACGGGTCGTGTGGATTGATGCTGGGATCCATGCAAGAGAATGGGCATCCGTGCATACCGCACTTTATTTCATCAGAGAGGTATTTCGTCAATTTCCCATTGCAAACTTTAAAAGTTGTCACATCCACCATTTTTGTATGCGTAATTTAGCAGCACAAAATATGAAACCCAGGCTGGACCGCCTGGGCTCATATTGGCAGTGCTTTGGCCCCTTCCGGCTTGCAGAAGGAAGGGCGTCAGTTGGGATGAAAGTGGTGCATTATAGAGCCGCATGGACATTCACGTGCATGTTTACCGGTTTTCTGCATGAAGTCCAGTCGTTTTTTCGGTAAATGCTCACTTTGTAAAAAAATGACAAATGCAAATTTTTTAAAAAAATGCGAATTTCCAGTTCATGAAAAATGGAAGTATTGCTCGAAGGTCGTTCTTCAAAAAATCCATGTTCATTTGCATGTACGATTGCGGTTCAGGTCCGAATTGCTAACGATTTTTGGGTTCAGGAGCTGCTTGAGGCTGTGGTTGGG